CGCCTGACACAAAAAAAATATAAAAAGCACCAGCCCTCGAGCTGTAGGCCTGTCAATTCTCCACGGGCTTGGCCCTCGGGCTCCCCACCTTCACTGGGGTTGCCCAACGCTGGAGGCTTATCCACCAGCCCTCAGGCTCGTTCCCTTCGCCTGTCCCCCGAGCAACCACCAAGGGTGGAGTTGCTCTTAGACAAGAACAAACCCATCTGTAACAACCCATTCCGATAAAAATGAGTATTTTCGTGAAATTGCATCTTGAGCTAGATCTTTTTTTTTAAATTGATTTTGGTATTATATTCTTATTATTTTTTAATCTTATTATCTCTATTAAAAAAATTAATATAAAATATTAACGTGACTTAACCGTGACCGCACAAAATAGGAGGGGATGGGAATGTCACCCAAACAGGAGGTTAGACAATCAGCCTCCGTTAAATGGTGTGCCCAAGGGGCCCACCCTATTTTATTTGTCCCCAATCCCCTCTCGTTAGCTGTCAAGTGGCAGTTTCCCTGAACCCATATCTCGTCTCTTCTCCTCTCCCGAGTTTCCCCCTTAGCTCTCACCCTCGTTCTCTCATCTCTCTCGAGCATTAGACACTCGCACGCATACCACTAACCCTCTTTCTGTTCTCCCTCACTCCTCTCGGACGTTCTCACCTCTCTCATCCCTCTAACTCTTCTGCAAGTGCAGACACGGGGACCTCCATCACTACCACCGTCGATCAACGAAACCGATGAGTTCCCCCTTTTTTCGACTAGGTAAGCCTCGGGATTCCCTCTCTCTATTTTAGGTTGATGCTTGAATTCGATTATTGAGAAATATACTCGTTGTCAAGGTTTAACACGTCGGGGAGACTTCCCCGGATTCCCACGAGGAACCTGTCACTTTTGACCCAATTTCAGGGCAAACCACAGTGATTTGTCAGTGTGCAAGGTATCAATCTCTTCGTGTCGCTGAGTACTACAACTTTCCTTTTTGTTTCATCCAATTTCGTTGAGTATTGAAAAAGTTATGTTCATTTGAATCTTATCCAGTTTTCGGCGACCTTCGTGAATTTCGAGGCATTTTCCGGTCAAACCACGGCAATTTAGATGTCGTGCGAGGTACCATTCTCTTCATCTCTTCGAGAGCTATGATTTACATTTTTGAATCACTCGATTTCGTTGAGTATTGATAAAGTTATGAGCATTTAAAGTTTGTCCAATTTCCGACCGATACTCCAGCCTTCTTCTCCGGTGTGAAACCCAACCCAAGGAACTACTCAGACTTTCGGCCCATTCATGCTGAGCCCAACCCAACCTTCCTTTCTTTTTTATTTTGTTTTTAGTTTATTTATTTCTTCTTTTTCAAACTAAAGGCCCTTTGGGCCATTTCTTTAAAGCCTCAGGCCCGTGAGCCCTAAAAACCCAAGCCTTTAAAGGCTTAAGGCCTTCGGGCTGTTTCACCTTAAGCCCCTGGCCTTGGGGCTGGGTCCCTAAGCCCCATTCCCTTAAAATCCCTAAGCCCAACTCCTAAACCCAATTCCCTAAAGCCCTAAACCTAACCCACCTAAAAGTCTAAGTCTAAACCCTTTAACCTTTCAAAACCCTAAACCCTAACCCAAGTCCAAAACCTTTAAACCGGAACCCCTCTTAGGCTAATTTCGACATCCTAGACCCGTTTTTTCCGTCCTTTTTCCTAAATTAAATCGTTTGAGTAGAGTTTGACTAAGTTTACCCTTTATGTGCTTAGGTGCATATATTGTGGCATTTCTGTCTTCGCTAGCAACGCGGCTTTTCGACAACGAAGTACTGTGATTGGACCCCTTCTAAAAATGAATGTTTTGATAGTAGAAATGCATACATGAAAAGCATGATTTAATGATTATGTTCTATGAAACGCTTTGAGATAACATGCTCACTGAGGCTAGATTGAATTACTACTATTTTTCTTATAACCCGTGTTCTCATAGAATATCTGATGGATGACGATATAATATTTAGAACACGTTTAGAACACCTCTTTATAGTATAGATGATGGATGACTTTATACTATGAAATTGTTTTTCAATTTATGTATGTTCAATGGTTTTGTACTTACCTAGTAGTCCTTATTCCGCTACGGGACGTAGGGATAGATTCTGGTCCGTCCCGAGCGACGGTTTGGTGTTGGCATAAGGCCTAGAGTGTGTTTCCTCTGGCTATTAGCACAAGGATGGAGAGCCGGCATGGGGCCTGGAGTGTATTTTTCTCTAACTATCTGCTCAGAGACAGGGAGCCGGCATGAGGCCTGGGGGTTATTGGACATTCACTAGTGATTATTATATATACAAGTTATGATTTGAGACATTGCACAGCATGCTAGGTTTAAAAAAAAACTATGTTTATCATTATATAAGTGTTTTCATAAAACCTGGGGGTTAGTATGTTGATAACTGTTTTACTATATATATATATCAATTTGGTCCACTTATGTTTGTTTTGCGCCCCCTTCAAGATTTAGAATTGAGGCATATTATCCCAGCGTCAAGACATTTCCGCATCGGCATCTTCAAGTCCTATTGGTGTAGGACCCATTATTTTATTCATTCAATTTTATATATTTTTTTTTAGTATTCTAGTTAGTTGTATGATTTGAATACGTTCCTTAAATGCATATTCATTATTTTTATATTTATAAGTCTGATTTATTCCTCATTCTTAGCATTTGCATTCAATAAATGATTTTCGTCACCCTCGGGTGTCGGCCAACACGTGCCTATCCTGGTGTTCAGGGAACATCGGGATCGGGCGTGTCATCACTCTTCCCTTGCATGAAAAATCATACTGAATGCATTTGAGGGCTATCAATTATTAATGTAAACTAACATCTCTATTTCCCTTGGATTATCTATCTTTATTGTATGAGTACGTAGTGAAAAAAGCTTGTTAAAACCCAAATTAATGAAAGAGAAATCCAGAGCCTAGCACATGTGATCGAAGATTTAGCCCTAGTTTGGGATTGAGGTGATTTTAAAAAAAGTGGATATGAAAAAAAATTTGGATGGTTTTTTATGTTTGGTAAACTCTCAAAATCAGCTTTATTTCAAAGCTGTGGATGAAAATAAACCCAAATCCTGAAGTTGCAAATAGCAGCTTCCAAAAACCAGCTTATTTCAAAAACACGGGTGAACAGTATATCTTTAATGAATTTTTCAACAACCCCAAAATTGCCCTCATTTCCTTGCACTTTCGGAATGCCTCTCACAAAACCTGAACCAGAAAATTTCAATCCCAAATCTCTCTCATTCTCTCAACAATCTCTCTTATTCAAGTCACGTTCTCCGGCTCGACGTCCTTCCTCAAGTACTCGGACAGCCTGACGGTGGTGGGCATCTCCTTTTGCACCGCCTTCATATGCGAGGCGATCTCATGGGTTCTCATCGACAGCTCTCCAGCTTTCTTCAAAATCCCCTGTTCTCCTCTTTTGAGAAGGTCACCTACCTTGCCGGCAAATAGTCGATCTTCCTGATCTTGAGCCTTTGGACCAAGCAAAGCTATCCCAGGCCCCTCCTCCATTATCGACCTAGTTTTTGAACCTGCAATCTGACCCGCCAAAGAACCATCCAGCACAGAGGAAATTTTTTTTAGGATTTCAATTGAGAAGGAAAGATATCGCATGAAGATAGGAAGATTAACGGGAAAGAAAATGTGAAATGGGTTGGAGCGGCGGAAAAGACGAGAACGGGAAAGAAAAGAGAGCAATGTGAGAGAAAGAGGGTTTGAGATATGCTTCTAGAAAATGTGGACTGATTTTAATTATGATAATAAAACATAAAAAGATAGGGATTTTAAATAATAAACTAGTTTACTTTTTTTTATAAAATAACCATTAGTGTTGGAGATCCTTATGATAAAGAGTAATAGTTGTATAGTAAATAGATATTATAAATGTTGGATTATATGTTGAATGTTATTTTATGATTTTTTTGTTAAACGTTGGATTATATGTTTAAGATAAAGTTTATAAATATTTTTCTTTTAAAAATAAAATATATTTAGTAATTCACTTTTATTTGTTAAGAAAATTAAATTAATGACACATCTAGTATTATATCCTTTTTGGTCATTTTACACAGTTACAACTGTTTTTTATAAAAGTTTACCAAACACTATAATACTGTTTTTTTTTCCAAAATCACTTTTACAAAAAAATTTATCAAACACTCTGTTACTTTATTTCACAGCTGCTTATTCTTACAGCACAGCAGAAACAATTTTTTTTTCAAAACACAGCAATACCAAATCAGCAGTAATAAGAAAGAAGAAGAGGTGGTGTTATTTAGCAGTTAGGCCTTCCAGCCGAGAACTCAGACATAAACTAGTAAAAGCAATAGGACACAAAAGAGACAAAGAAATGAACATTCCGCAGTATCATATATATTGTAATCCTATTTTACTGAGGGAAAAGAGAAGAAGACAACAGGCGACAAGGAGAAGAGATAGAAAGGTTTGAGGAATTCGTGAGTTTTGTGCATTTGTTTATATTAATAAGCGAAAGAGAAACTTGCACACCAAGTAATACATGTTGTACAAGGAAAAATCTTCTATATCTGATATAATTCCTATATATAATATACTAGAATTTAGATAATCATACAGCTGATCTAACATCTTTTCTATAATAATATTAATTTTGAGAATTTTTTATATTTCATAATGCTTGTAATGTGCCTTGACCTCGTGAGGTTGAAGAAAGTTTTCCGTAAGCAATCAAAGTTCCACAACGTATGAAAGTCTAGTGGCTTACTTCTCTCAAAATTTGGAGAAATTTTTCCTTGTGCCGGTAACACAAGTGGTTATTATATAAGTGATGAGAAATTTTATTTTTTATGTTATTATTTTTTAACACAAGAATCTCACCATTTGTATAGACCCCGTGTTCCAGGCACATTTAAAAATCAAGCAAACCGAAACCATAAAAACCCACGCACAAAGGAAGCTTAACACTAAACCTACAAGAATTCTGCAAGTCTCATCCATGGCGGAGTTCCCACCGGAGCTGATCTTTGAAATCCTTTTACGGCTCCCGCCCGAGGGCTTGTTACGATGCTTATGTGTTTCCAAATCTTGGAATGCTACCATCCATGACAAAAACTTTATCAAATCCCATCTCCAGCGCTCCATCCAAACCAATTCTTTTGGCTCTCTTTATGTATATGCAGGTTTTTACCACGACGGGAGGAAGTTGAAGTTCTCTACTATTTACAACGACGGTACTATAGAACAAGCCACGGGAATCGGACAGTCGCCTCTGCAAGACGTAGAAGGCCGGATCCCTTTTCCTTACACGTTGGTCTCATGCAATGGGATAATTTGCATTCGCACCGAGACGGTCGACAAGGTCGAGGAATTTGTTTTGTGGAATCCGTCAATTCAAAAGTTCAAAAATATACCCTCCCCAACGTTTGAGCAGCCTCCATCGTCAGACATATATTTGCACCGTCGCTATGGATTCGGGTATGATTCAGCAAACGACGACTATAAACTTTTGGGAATTGCAATGTTTTTTGTTAATTGGGACTTGAATATTTCTGTGCACCAATATCAAATTTATAGCCTAAAATCCAACTCATGGAGAAAGATAAAAAACATGCCGCGTGATGAGTTTCAATTCAGTGCGAGTGAGATCGTGTTTTTGAACGGTTGTCTAAGTTGGCAGGCATATAACGTATTAGATAAAAAATTCTATGTTGTCACCTTTGAGCTTGCCAGTGAGAAATATCACTGGTTTCCCAACCCGGTTAATGGGATTGTGTATTTAGAGGTCTTGGGAGACTCTCTATGTATTTTTCGTTTGCGAACCACCATAGATGCTTGGATTATGAAGGAACATGGATCTTGGACCCTGCTTTATTCTATAGAGCAGGCCGCTATGCGTTGGGTTAGTCGGTGGAAACCCGTGCTGCTCTCAAAGAATGGTGAAAGTGTTCTTCTGATGAATGGCTTAGAAAAGTTTGCTTGGTTTGATTTCGTGAAAAATAGTTGGAAAGAAGTTGGAACTGCAGGTCCATACATTCATACCATAGATACCATTTGCATGAGGAGCCTATGTCTTCTTGATGGCGACCCAATTATTGTTGAGAGCAGCAAGTCCCTCTCCCTCTAAGAGGGGGAAAACTTCAAGAAGGGATACTTGATCCAGTAGTCAGAGCAACTGAAGATGATCAGAATAATTACAAGAAAAGTCGTTAATTGGCACAAGAAGGGTACGTATTTTTCTGGTTCAACTTGCATGCGAACAAATCTCAGTAATCAATTGTTTTCTGTTAATTTAAGGCAACATTATGTATTATTTATTTCGTAAACATGTGTTCAACTCATATCCTTACTGGTCTTCTGGTTTTTTTTAACTGTTACGTGCAAAACATACAATGAAGCTGATGGTTGTGCTGAGAAATTCAACCGAATGACATGTATATATGTCGTTTCAACTTTCAACTTGGTTGCATAGTGGCCAAAGGAAAGAGTTTCGGGTTGTTTTCGCATTACTAAAAGTACTGAATTGATGATCTGCTTCTAGTTTCCTACACCTAAAAATATTATCCCATCTTCTTTAGTTAGTAACTAGCAAAAATGCCCGCGCATTGCTGCAGGACTTGAATGCACCAACCTTAACCACATGAATAAGACATTTAGCCTGAAAAAAAAATTCGACATAATCATGAACGAACAAAAGGGATAGATAAGTGAAAGGTGTCGCGGTAAGATAAGCAGTTCGGTTTTTATATACATTCAACCGAGCTGATTACAAAAGATACAGTTGCAAATAATGCTCTGTTTCCTAAGAAACATAAGCAACATGCATTTAACATTTATATTGCCCTTCAAGTTAAGATGGCAAAATATATGTCCTGCAGGCCAGTCACGTGTTTTAACAACTAAACAACAAAGCCATAAACATGTGTTGTTCTTGTTTCAACAACTAATCTTTCAAGCACTAATGTATGGATTAATGAATAATATCTGAGATCCTATTTGTTTTTTATTGACTGATGTTTCAACATCATCCACCTAATTCATATCACACATCCATAGATACCTGAGAACGCTTATTCCCACCACCATTGCGTTGTTACTTTAGTATGTTTTTTCACTGAGAAGAAAAGGAAAGAGCATCACGAAAAACACTAACAATTTCAACTCTAAAACGTCACCTTATTCCTATAACCCACCTCAATCAACAACAAAAGAAGAAAAATAATTGATCCCTTCAAAGATGCTTTCATAAGCTAAAAGATGTCCTACCCATCCAAACGAAAGTGGGATGTTATTTTCAGTCCCATGTGACATCGGCACAATGGAGGGTGACTCTGGTAAATTCAGATCACAAATAACTCCAAGAACTCAGTTAACCACATCATCCCCACCAACAATCTGAGAAGAAATATAAGTTAGAAGGACAGCTACAGCACAACCCAAAGATTAATTAAAGAAAAAATATCCAAAATGTATGTCAGATATTGTTGAAATTATAAATACAAATCCAAAAACAAAACAAAAAAATAATAATAAGAAAAAGTCTTGAACAATTGGCTATATGGGATAAATTTAACATGTTACTCACTATAATTCTCATCCTCTTATGAATATCATCAGCAAACTCATATTTTTCACTCTTACGTAGAGTACCATAAACCTCCTTTAGCACGCCCTCAGGATCCTCTATCTTTATTGGTCTCTTAGAATCAAAGTCCTCTTCCAGCACAGCAAAAAGACCTAGGAAAGAAATTATAATTTGAACACTGTCAAGTTAAGCATGTTTACAATCATACAGGTCGGATTTCTTTTTTTAAATAATCATTTCAAAATGCCTTTCTTCAAGGAGAGACAATTACAAAGAGAGAATAATACCTGTTTTTTATTAAGACGGTACCAAAATTCGTTATAGAGTCGTCCTCCAAGCTTTTCATCTCTTATATCAACAAATACTAAAACTTGGCAGTTTGGTATATCAACAGAAGGTTCACCATCCAAATCATGTTTAAGCAATTCATTAGGTAGATACATCTCCTTCTAGAGACGTTTGGACCTACAATTTGACCCGCAATATTCTTATTGCATGTAAAACTAATTTTGGGGAACCAAATCTTGGCAAATATAAGAATCACCCTATTTAGTTCACTTCTTCATAAGGGGTAATCTTATATAAAAAAACTTGAAACAAATTCAAGGTACAGCAGCATCAAATACTAAGCATTAGTCTACTCCACGAAATTCAATATTATATGTATGTAACACTATCACAATAAAGGAGTTAAACTGAACAATTAAATACAAAAATTCACCCATATATATACAAAACCCATCAACGAAAAAGAGGGGTTTAGAAGAATACTCAATCTCACGAATCTGCTCCTCAGCTTCACAGAAGCGAAGATGCCTTCAAAATAGACGCAAATCCTAGACTCAGACACACAGAGAGAAATATTTAGAAATTTTTTAGACAACAACTCTTACAGAAGGACAACAACATTTTGGGATGACGACCCTCACAAAAAGAGAACATCGTTTGACGGTGAGAGAGCACAAAGCAAAACAAAAACGAAAGTTAAAACAAAGGAAGATGCAGTCAAACGAAGCGGGAAGCAACAGAGCAAAAAAAAAAAAAAAAAAAAAAAAAAAAGCAACAGAGCAAATTTCTGAAAGAACACGAACCCATCACTGATATTAAAATTATCTTTGGGTAAATTGGGTATGAGTGAGGGTACTGACCTTCTCCGGGCATCTCGTGTTCGAAATTGGAAGAGTTTAAGATGTGATTTTGGTGGAAAATGGGCAGCGCTGCAGAGAGAACGAAGCAAGTCCATGTTTCTGTGGAATTGAAATTGCAGAAATCAAACGATATAGATGAGTATTTTGAAGATTCTGAATCTAAGAAAGAGAAGAGAAATTTACCTTTGGGGAAGAGTGGTGGCCGCTGCTGCTGAAACTGAAAAGATTTTGGCAAATAAGTCGAAAAGGAAGACAGTGGGAGTCGGCAACTCAGAATTTCAGCCAAACATAAAGAGAATATGAAGAAAGAAATAGTTTTGTAAGATGCTAAGAAGAAAAACAGGGAACAATAGGGTTTTACCTGAGGACTCGAGCTGGGTTCTGAGATGTAGACCTCCATCTCCCGTCCTCTCCCTGACATTCCACACCTTCCCCCCTTCTCTGTCTGTAACTAATCCAGCCCAAACAAAATGTAACGTTTACATGTATATCACTAATTGTAACGTTTAAATAAATACACAATCAAACGTTTAAATAAATGGTTGCAAATGACCTGACTGTTAAAGAGTAAATTCATAAGAACTTACCATGCACTTGAGCATTTTTCAACATTCCATTAAGCACAAACAAAATGTAATCTACACGTAGATGAGATAAGACATGTTTAGGTGTTAAGCCAAATGCAAGAAGTCAGATAAGTGAAGAAATAAGAACCTTGACAGCTCATCATTTCTTATACTTTGGACTCAGCGTTTGAAATTTGCCTACCAGGCATAACATCTGAAACATTATTTATTCATATGAATGTGAGAATGATTACTTTCAATGGCATTCCATCTAGAAATGTAAAGGGGTAATTGAATCCATCTATACTTCACCGTGTTCATGACTTGCAAATTTTCTAAATGACACAATAAATAACAGAGATTAGCGAGAGTTGAATCAAAGGAATCAGTAGTGTAAAACTGACAACATGCTTACAAATTCAACTCCAATTGTGCTGATGTAGCTATCCAAGTATGAATCATCTTGTTCAACGATTCCGAAGCTCAGACAAAAACTGCATGAGAAAATTGAGATTATATGCAATTGTATGTCAAATAACCTAAAATATAACATATATCCAATATTAAGTGCATACTTTAAAATAATACATATCAATGTAATCTAAAACATTGGAAACATTATCATACAATTAAAGAATCACGATGCAGAAAATTTTATTTCCATTATTTTCAGATAACTTTTCACCCCACAGCACTGAGACAGAAAGCATACCCAAACCAATAGTGGCGTTCCAACCACTGCGATTTCACAAACTTCTCAATGGAGGAAGAAAAACACAAAATACACTACAAGATCACTTGTGGCTGAGCTTTTATCGCTCAACCTGTCTTTATCTTTGTGTAGCTCTCTGACTGAAATATTATTCATATAAAATTTCATTACAGTATAAAGTATACTTATATATATAACATAATAACCTTCCAAAAGCAATATCTTTTAAAAACATTCCATCAATTGAACATTACCTCCCTGTCTAAGAAAATTGATGACAATCGTAAGCTAAACTATGAAATACCAAATTAAATACAGAAACATCACAACCCCAAACCAAACAAAACCCCAAATCAATTAAAAAAAAAATTAGGCCAAAAGAACCCCACACCTAACAAAATCCCAGATTCGCTCAAAAAGAGATTTATCTTATTTTAGCAAAATGAATTCCAACTGGCCACAATCAGAGTGGGAAAATGCTTTATGCAGAAACGTGAAAAAGAACAAATCAGAGAGGCACTTACACCACAATTCATGATCATTATCCAAAATTTGCAAAGCAAACATACAACCAAACAGATACCTCTCTATTTTTCATCTCTCTCTCCCTGTTATTTGTATTGTGATAAGGTTTATGATAAACAATGATTTTACCAAAATTTAATAATAAAAAACATCACAGTAGAAGTTTAACATGAGAGAAAGAGTCAATCTCTACCTTTGATGTGTTGATCCTACCATCCCCTTGCATGCTTGATCTCTACATAAAAATAGAGTTTGGTTGGTGAGAAAATGCAGAGAAAACGAACAAAATTTAATGTAATTCTAAATTTACCAGTATTAACAGAACCAATAACTTAATAACACTTTTACATCATTAATTAGTAGAAAACAATACATAAATACAACCCAACAAAATAAACATACTCTTAAATTTCAGGTAGACGGGCCATTGGCCCACTCCAACAACACCGATATTGTCCCCACTTGGCCACCTGCTCAATCCGTCAGGTGTGGGGTTTTAATACAAAAGGCCTCGATGTTAGTTAGAGTGGGGTAATTCTATATAAATGGCTTGTTTTCAAGCCTTCTGGCTGATGTGGGACAGAGGAATTCTAACACTTCCCCGCACGTGAGACCCCATTTTATGGGTCACACGTAGAGTTCCACACATCGGCAACCACGTGGAGCCAAGTCGGGGCTCACCCATTCGCGCTGGGCCAATGCACGTAGCATCTCTTGGCCTACGTGGAACCAAGTCGAGGCTCACCCATTTGCGCGGGGCCAAAGGGGACCCACCCGTTCACGTGGATGTACGGACCCGTCCCCTGGCTCTGATACCATCTTAAATTTCAAGTAGACGGGCCATGGGCCCACTCCAACAACACCGATACTGTCCCCACTTGGCCACCTGCTCAATCCGTCAGGTGTGGGGTTTTAATACAAAAGGCCTCGATGTTAGTTAGAGTGAGGTAATTCTATATAAATGGCTTGTTCTCAAGCCTTCTGGCTGATATGGGACAGAGGAATTCTAACACATACTGCATTCATTGCTGAAACAGGGAGCCAACCTCCATGCTGCTGTTGTGCAAAATCCAGCAGAGGAATCACTGTAGACTATTTGTAGTTGGATGGATAAAGGGATAGTATCTCTTTCACCTAAAACTGAAAAAAAATGACACCTTTTAGAACTCAAAAAACATAAAAATAATCTTGCAAGTGCCAAATAATGGATATAATCAATGCTCGTGGTTTGCAGCTCAATTCAAGAACTTATATAACATCATCATCATATGAATCAGTAAGATCACTTTCTAAAATGCAATAAATAACTTGGGGAAATTTAAACCTTATAGGACAATCCAATTCTAGTAACTCAACTTAGCAACGTGGTTGGAACGTTCACCACCCCCTACACTCTAGTTATGTATAAATTCAAAACTGAGCATGTTTGAATTAAGGGTGCTAAGAAAATCCTAAACCTTTTATACACATCTTTGCTTAAATATCGGGGCTTGTAATGTTTGACATAAATAGCTTGTAATGTTTGACATAAATAGCTCAGCCTAAAGCACACATTGACAACCAAATTACACAATCTTTTCTCCTTTTTTCATCTTTTCACAACTACACGTCTTTTGCCAGAGTTACTGCATTGCATCGCCATTGAATAATATGCTACAAACTAATTAGGCAAATGGGTCGCTGAAATTCACTGCAAAAATGCTCCGCAAAATTATTAATTCCAACAAAATTGATAGAACCAAGTGGAAGTTTGTAAGACCCATTTGCAGGAAGGAAATGGGTGCTCTGTAGAAATTGAAAAGATGGAAAATTGATAGTTCATGATTTTGGTAGTCCAGATTAGATTAGCTTTAGACTCTACCAGTTTATTGCTTGTCTTTTATTCATAATTCATGTCCTAATTTATCTGTTTAGGTTTTAGTTTTTGCCTTTGGGAAAACCCAAAATCTCTACCTCCAACGCCCATCTGCAACCACACTCCTTACACCCCCTGTCTCTTTCCCCAACCCCTCCTTCACCAAATGACACACCCAGACCTCTCTCCCCACAAATAAGGAGCAACCAAATTCAACTCCAATATAATAAAACTTAAACAAAATACCAGCTTTCACTCACTCCAATCCTCTAAGAACCCATAATTTTTTTCAATCAGAAAAAGTAAAAATTAAGCATTGACTTAAATCCTGATAAAATGATTAAGTAATCAGCAACACCTGGTTCAAAATTTTACAAATTCACCAACAGTACACTCCAACACATCCCCAAACAGCTCAGAAATAGTGAAATTTGATTCGATTCAATTCAATTCAACTCCATTTGATTTGATTCAATTAATTTCAATTCAGTTAGTTCAATTCAACAATTATAATCATTATTATTATATTGGAACTAAATTGATTGATAGGACACCTTTAAAATCATAAATCTGATAAGCAATCTTACAATTAACGCAGATTATGTTCATATCAAAATCCATACAGAAATACAAATTCGGAAAAAGAGTGTAAATTCCATCAAACACGAAGAGAGAGAGAGAGAGAGAGAGAGAGAGAGAGAGAGAGAGTACCTGTTGTTGCTTGGTGACCTGATCTCTTAGCTTCCTGATTGCCTCCATTGCAGCTCAGCTGTAGGTAGTCTCGATTTTTCAAAGTTGTGCTTCAAGCCTTAATCTAGACTCTAGAGGCTGAGTGGGTTTATAAAAAATAATAATTTAATAAGAAATTAACACTGAAAATAAATCAAGAATCCAAAAAAAAAAAAAAAAATTTCATACCTCTAAGTTTCTGGGTTTTACTGTGGAATCCAATTGAGAACCACTAAAAAACACGGAAAACTGACCATAACACGTTAGACAATGCAAGCAAAAAAGGGATTTCAGTGGAATTGAAAAAGGCAGAAATTAACAACGAAAACCCATTTAATCATACAACCAAAACCCAATACCCATTTAATCATACACCAACGAAAAATCTAAACACAGAGTCACAAATAAACGTACTGAAAACCCACAAAAAGAACCCAAAAAAAGAAAAAGGAAACTGACCTTAAAACAAAGAACAATACACAAAACAGAGAGATGCATCCCCAACAGTAGAGAATCGAATTAAAATTTGAACTTTCTATCACTGTCTCCCTTCCACTCACCCACGCCAGGATCGGCATGGCCTTACCTGCGCCCAAGAAAGAACCAACTGACAGGGAAAGAACCCAGGGAAATTTGAAAATATAACCATTTTGAAAACCACATAATGAAATACAGCCTATGTTTTCTATTTGTTATAAAATTAACCAAAATTGAAGTGAAAAGGACTTAATTACCCTTAAGTTAAACTCACGTTCTCCTCCTCTGCTATTTGTCTCCTACGCACCTGATTCCTCAATGCTATTCTCATTCTCAATCCCTCAGTGGATATTGGATTTCGAATCAAAACCTTCAATCAGTTGGTTGCCGAGAATCTGCACGCGGGGAAAAGAAATGTTGACTGGTTGGCTACTGAGAAAACGCAAGAAAACGATAGGATTACAGTTACAATTTGAAAATCGAACGATCCAGTACCTACCTGTATCCGGAGAGGAAGAGCAATACATGCTATAATCCAGAGCTGGATACACTAAATGCATTGATTACTAATAGATTATCATAATCTAAATTACATAATATTTGATATTATTGTCTTCCTCCCTTAAGGAATTCAGTTTACGACAAGGACATGAGAAAGTGTTCTGTTGGATTGGATTTGGGAGATTCTTCTGCAAAAAGGAATGCTTTCTCTTTCTTCAACTTGGAGCGTAGGAGACAAACAGTAGAGATAGGAGGAGAGAGAGTTTTGCATAAGGGTAATTAAGTATTTTTACTTTAATTTTGGTTACTTTTATAACAAATGAAAAACATAGGCTATATTTCATTAAGTGGTTCTCAAAATGGTTATCTTTCCAAATTTTCCAACAACGTAGCCCCAAGCTGAAACCCTATTGATAAAAAGATGATTCTACCCCTCTAACTTATCGTCCTCACCGTGGGATCTGAAGGTGCGATGGACAGTCGCGTCATTTTAAACAATAAAAATTTCTGAAGCCCAGTGGCAAAATTACCCTCTGAACTTTTAAGAATTACCCTCTCAACCCAGCCCCATTTGGCTGGTATTGTTGTAAATAGCATGAAATCGAGTGGCTCCGTGCTAAACCATATGGACAAAATCACCCTCTGAACTTTTGAGAATTACCCTCCCAACCCAGTCTCATTCGGCTGGTATTGTTGTAAATAAAGCAAAATAAAAAAAAATTGAACAGTGCATGTGCCCCTATGATGCATGGACACGGATACGAACACAAGGATACGACACGGGGATACGTCAAATTTCTAAAAACTAAGACACGATACGACATGGATACGGCAATTTATATAATAAATATATATTTAAAAAATATATTTTAAATAACAATAAAAATTTAATTTATATTATTCAAACTCAAAAAGAAAGGATGGTAGTGGTGGAAATTCGGTGGGCTATGTAGTTTTGAGCTTTAGTCTCATTTAAATCCTAAAAAAAATTTAAAAAAAAAACTGGTGTGTCGTTTTTTACTACAGAAACAAACAAACGGCATGTCGACCTAGCAATCATCTTCTTCGCGAAGCCTCCTCCACCAAGTCGGGTCGTCTGCGTGCGACCAGATCGGGTAGTCTCCGTGCGACGCCTTCCTTTGTCAAATTGCGTTATCTTCTTCGCGAGGCGTCCTTCCACCATATTGCGTCATCTCCATCATGAGATTTTCTTCCACGAAATTGCGTCAAAGGCCATGGTGCAGATTTCCGTATCCAGATAGTCGGATACGAGTATCTATCGGATACCCGTATCCATCCAAACACCGTATCCGTTGATCCAGATATGTATCCAACGCGTATCCGACTGTATCAGAGGCGTATGGTGTCCATTTGCGTATCTGACACGCAATACGCGGCCGATGTGCGGTGTGTTAGAGCAATATTAGAAAATATGAAAAATATAAAAGAATTCCAATAATAATAATCATAAAGAAATTCACAACATCAATTATATATGAGATTAATATAAACAACTAGAGAGAAAGTTAGAATAACTGACAAACTTGGAGATTGAGGCTTGCATAAATGCAATGTCCTAAAGATAAAATTTCGCCCCTACTCTTGTGCTTGTAGTTCGATAGGCGTCTATCTCCCAGGATTCAATAATCTATAATCCGAAGTCAAAAGCACTTCAATCTTCAGACTCTGACAAACTTTATATATTCTATACTCTCAAGACACGACTCAGAATTTGACACACAAATCATTTGAGAAACAAAGTGGGGAAACCTTATTTCTCAAGAGTAAAAATTAACTCTAATTTTCTATATTTAATACCAATGGTTTCATGGGTTTATATAGAATCCAACTTCTACTTATTAAAGAGATGTAACTTTTCATCTATAAGTATACATCACTTATCAAGTATCACCTAAACAACATAACCTTTCTAAGAAATTGGTTAACACTATTTTTCATTCAATTATTAAAATTATATATTACAATATTTTATACTATAATATAATTTCCAACAATCCCCCACAGGAATGAAAAATCAAGAAGAATTTGAGAGTACAGGCGGACAAGAGATGCATCGAGAGAGGTGTCTTTTGAACTTGAACCTACCCTAGTGAATACTTATCAGATTTACTTGGTGACGCAATGAATATAGAATCTTGAACTGTTCACCACAGCAATAAACCGAGACAAGAAGCAACACACATCACTAATCCTAATATATTACTATTCATACGGTTGTGTTCATTTTGGTCCTGAACAAATCCTGGATTCATGAGAGCTTTAGAGAATTTAGCCATCTCATACTCATAGAAGCGACCCACTTCTACTCTCACATAGGTGACCAATGATTAAGAATAGTTTGCTCTATTCCTTTTATTTATAAGATATCACTGTCATTAAGTATAAATATACAACCTAAAACGTCTGCAGACAACACACTTCTTCCACCATAGGAATGAGGTATATAGTGTGTTAACTTCTTTGAATCATGCCCAACCAGTTTGCCTATTGAACTTAGACCATGGGACCTCCAATCAACTAAGTTAGGTTTCCGCTCGGCTGATTCATTAGTTATGTTGGCTTTAGCCTCATTCCCCTCGATGATCAACTTATTCTCTAGTCAAACCTTTAATAATTGGATCCACTACTAGGTTGACTATATCTTTAATGGTGTGCACAATCCATCTTATGAAATTATATTTCATACGAGAGTAGTTGACTTACAATGTCAAGTCCTCAACCATACATGTTGGGACTTTATTAGTTAGTAATTTGCTAATACTTGGGCATACTCCCCCACATTTAAGGTAGTTGTAAGAAGGTCTCTAACCTTGTCATACCTTAAACAATTACTCATTACAGGAGATGACATCTTAAATGTCGTTCAATTAGCAAATTACTTTTAACCAACCCCCACAATTCTTTCATAATTGTAGTTTCTTGTAATGCTATCATTAAATCGATCACATTTTCCACTTTAATAAGTAATGAACAACTAAGATAGACTTTATCTATCTTTTTAGGCATTCATGCCTCACTAAGCTGTTACAGGAAAAGCTTTTAAAGGCTTTCACACTTTATCATCTGAGTTTTTAAATTATCAAGGGACTAGAATCCCCGCCAAAGAATGTTAATCTTAAATTTCATTTGACTCTTCCTCGCTATGACTAGTAACAAGAGAAAGCAAAACTCTTATCATTGCAAGGTATTCCCAAACTTCCAATGTCTAATTCTTCTCAAGGGAATTGGCTTTGGTTTCTTACATGACTAACATGAAAATATCCAAGCCCACGCTTGCTTATTATAAAGCCATATTGGGTCTAATGCATTCTGCAAAATGCTCCCACATTTTTGGTGTCTTATTGTTCTCAAAGGACTTGGCTTTTAGTCTGGACCATTCCCGATTTATGGCAAACCCAGTTTTGTGGTTTCCATTAGACATAGTTTCCATTTATACGGAACTATCCTGTAAAACTCAAAGGACATATTAACTCACTTAAAACTTTGAGATAATTCACTATGGCCTTGAAGCCTTCGCACATCTACCTAATAAGGATCTAAAGATATATAATTGATGTTGTGAATTTCTTTATGATTATTATCATTGGAATTCTTTTATATTTTTCATATTTTCTAATATTGCTATAACAATCTAAAGATAGAATTTCGCTCATACTCTTGTGCTTGTAGTTCAATAGGCGTCTATCTCCCAGGATTCAATCATTTATAATCCGAAGTCAAAAGCACTTCAATCTTCGGACTCTGACAAACTTTATATATTATGTACTCTCAAGACACGACTCAGAATTTGACACACAAATCATTTGAGAAACAAAGTGGGAAACCCTATTTCTCAAGAGTAAAAATTAACTCTAATTTTCTATATTTAATACCAATAGTTTCATGGGTTTATATAGAATCCAACTTCTACTTATTAAAGAGATGTAACTTTTCATCTATAAGTATACATCACTTATCAAGTATCACCTAAACAACATAACATTTCTAAGAAATTGGTTAACACTATTTTTCATTCAATTATTAAAATTATATATTACAATATTTTATACTATAATATATAATTTCCAACACCGTGTCTGTGCATCGTAGCTGCCCCCTCCTACTTTAGAATACATAATATTCATGAAGCTATAACACAGCGCCTTTAATTGAATTCGCAAGGAATGGTCTGCAAGCTTGAACCTCGAACACACCAAATTCGGCCCCAACATACGCTTGTTTCAAATTTTCTTTTGAGTGTTTGCATCAAGATATTTCTTGTTTCGAGCAGCATTAGATCTTCCAAAGGGAACTCAGTTCTTTTACCCAAATTATTAGGTGTAAAAAATAATATGACGAACAAGATCGTCTGCGCATATCTCGTTTCATGAGTTTGGCTTGAAACACGAGCCTCTGATGAATTTTCGAAGCACAGACCTTCAAACTCATGGCGCCACTCCTCATCTCTTTATCTATCTGTGCATTTCTCTTTCTAAATCCCTTTAGACAAGAACGAACTCATGACTCTTCGCTTGCATGAAAAATCATACTGAATGCATTTGAGGGCTATCAATTATTAATGTAAACTAACATCTCTATTTCCCTTGGATTATCTATCTTTACTGTATGAGTACTTAGTGAAAAAAGCTTGTTAAAACCCAAATTAACGAAAGAGAAATCCAGAGCCTAGCACATGTGATCGAAGATTTAGAGTAAAAAGAAACAAGAAGAGGTGGTGTTATTTAGCAGTTAGGCCTTCCAGCTGAGAACTCAGACATAAACTTGTAAAAGCAATAGGACACAGAAGAGACAAAGAAATGAACATTCCGCAGTATCATATATATTGTAATCCTATTTTACTGAGGGAAAAGAGAAGAAGACAACAGGCAACAAGGAGAAGAGAAAGAAAGGTTTGAGGAATTCGTGAGTTTTGTGCCTTTGTTTATATTAATAAGCGAAAGAGAAATTTGCACACCAAGTAATAAATGTTGTACAAGGAAAAATCTTCTATATCTGATAGGATTCCTATATATAATATACTAGAATTTAGATAATCACAACATATTTTCTATAATAATATTAATTTTGAGAATTTTTTATATTTCATAATGTTTGTAATGTGCTTTGACCTCGTGAGGTTGAAGAAAGGTTTCCGTAAGCAATCAAAGTTCCACAACGTATGAAAGTCTAGTGGCTTACTTCTCTCAAAATTTGGAGAAATTTTTCCTTGTGCCGGTAACACAAGTGGTTATTATATAAGTAGTGAGAAATTTTATTTTTTATGTTATTATTTTTTAACACAAGAATCTTACCAGTTGTGTAGACCCGTGTTCCACGCACAAAGGAAGCTTAACACTAAACCTACAAGAATTCTGCAAGTCTCAACCATGGCGGAGTTCCCACCGGAGCTGATCTTTGAAATCCTTTTACGGCTCCCGCCCGAGGACTTGTTACGATGCTTGTGTGTTTCCAAATCTTGGAATGCCACCATCCATGACAAAAAATTTATCAAATCCCATCAACGCTCCATCCAAACCAATTCTTTTGGCTCTCTTTTAGTAACTGCAGGTAATTCCCACGACGGGAGGAAGTTGAAGTTCTCTAATATTTACAACGATGGTACTATAGAACGAGCCACGGGAATCGGACAGTCGCCTCTGCTAGACGTAGAAGGCTGGACTCGTTTTCCTTACACGTTGGTCTCATGCAATGGGATAATTTGCATTCGCACCGAGACGGTCGACAAGGTCGAGGAATTTGTTTTGTGGAATCCGTCAATTCAAAAGTTCAAAAAGATACCCTCCCCAACGTTTGAGCAGCCTCCATCGTCAGATTTATATTTGCACCGTTCCTATGGATTCGGGTATGATTCAGCAAACGACGACTATAAAATTTTGGGAATTGCAAGGTTTTTTGTTAAAGGGGACTTGAATATTGCTGTGCACCAATATCAAATTTATAGCCTAAAATCCAACTCATGGAGAAAGATAAAAAACATGCCGCGCGATGAGTTTCAATTAGGTATGAGTGATATCGTGTTTTCGAACGGTTCTTTAAGTTGGCAGGCATATAACGTATTAGATGAAAAATTCTATGTTGTCACCTTTGAGCTTGCCAGTGAGAAATATCACTGGTTTCCCAACCCGGTTGATAGGGATGGTGATATTTGGCTTGTAGAGGTCTTGGGAGACTCGCTATGTGTTGTTCGTTGGTGCATCAGAGAAGCTTGGATTATGAAGGAACATGGATCTTGGACCCTGCTTTATTCGATTGGGTGGGTCGATGAGTTTCGTCGTGGTTATTGGAAACCTGTGATGCTCTCAAAGAATGGTGAAAGTGTTCTTGTGCAGATAGACTCTAGAAAGTTTGTTTGGCTTGATTTAGAGAAAAAAAGTTGGAAAGAAGTTGAAATTGGTGGTCTACACGACGATGGTTTCAAAGCAACCATTTGCAAGCGGAGCCTTTGCCTTCTTGATGGCGACCCTGTTATTGTTGAGAGGATCAAGAATCCCTTCTCGAGGTTTTCTCCTCCACTACTAGATCAAGAATCCCTTCTCGCCAATACTGAGTGACACTACAATTCACTCAAAACTCGCAACGTGGCAAGTTTAAATAGTCTTTCATCATTTTTTTTTATACATCACATTCTCATAATTAATTTTATACTAATTAATATCCATCATAAAATCAATTTAATTTCTTGTTATCCCTTTTTTTCTTCCCAAGTGTTCCCTCCAATTTATATTTTTATGTGGTACTCTTCATTTTATTCCCTCCCTGAATTGACTGGGGCTTTTTGGGGCTTTTCAATTTTATACTAATTAATATCCATCATAAAATCAATTGGGGCTTTTTGGTTCTTTAAACAGTACTGAATTGATGATCTGCTTCTAGTTTCTTGCACCTAATAATAATATCCCATGTTCTTTAGTTGGTAACTAGAAAATGTGCCCGCGCTTTGCTGCGGGCGTTGAATGTATTAGTCGCAACATGCATTAATAGTTTCCACACAAAGCAACTAAAAAGACGTAGTACCTAAGAACCAATGAAGTCAATCTTTGCTTGCTATATATAAATATGCATAATTCATTTGTAGATTGTATTGTGTCACCAATATCATAGTTTCAAGTAATCAACCTACTACACAGAAAAGGGAAAGTAAAAAATTAGAAGACATAATACTTGATAGTAAGTTTCTGGAAAACCCCATCAATAAAATTGGCCGCAATAGCAAGGGATCAAGCACATAAGACCGAGGCTGATGAAACACAGAAATCTCTCACCTGCCATCCAAAGGGTAGACAAATATGTATCCATCTTTCTTGTCCGTGACAGGGAGAAATCTTTTTTTATTTTCTGCAGCAACTGAACCATGTCAAAAGTGTTCTTTTAGGATATCGGTCAATATTGATCAAAGGAAAGCAACTCACTTCACGTTACGCACATTGTTGCTACTTAAAACATTGTCTAGGATTCAGTGTGACATCCAGAAAACTTAGTACTACAATGCTAAACTTAAAAGGAAAAGTACGTAAGAATTGAAACCATTATAATTCCTCACATAATACTGAATGTCAGTTAGAAGAGCCCAAGAAGCAATTGTTCTTGCTGCTAACAATCGGTGGCCCCCGGATCTATTTGCCAAAGATAGACACCAAATTAGATGGAAACTCAAAAGTGAAAATTGATGGGGCCACCCAGTTGTCATTCTAGAGGCGGTCTAGCGGCTCACCACTAATTAACATTGCCAACATTCATTTATTTTTGTATTTCATTTTGTTACGTTTCCGACGTGGGATTTTAACATTCTCCAGACCAATAGCATCAATGAACACAATACCACAAACCCAAAACTGTACATTAAAAGAACAAAAATTGATGACTGATTACAAATTTACATGAGGGCAGTAAAAACTAACAATGCAGGTTGATTTCCACTTTGTTAGTATCATAAATATTCTCATTAGACACTTGTGTCCCACTTAAAGCAGGAATTAATGTCTTTCTTGTATCACCCGCTCTGTTGCTAGTCCTAGTTTTTTTGCGCATTGCAGTTGCAAATTAACATTGCCAAGCAATAAACTAAAAGGAAGGGCGAAAATACAACCAAGCCACCTATAGACCAACCAAGCAAAACCAAATGCAAACAAATATACAAATAAGCAAACTTCAAAAGATACAATAGCAAAAAACCAAACACATACAACCACAATCTAAGAATATTTTAATGACAGAAAAGAAAACTGACCTTTTGCGTGGAGGCAATGAGAAAATATAGAGAAGCAAACCACCTATTTGAAAAGGTAAAAACAAAGGACTAAAATCAAACAATGATATATCAGTCTCCAAAATAAGTATACAATATCTTTCAAATTTGATGACAAATTTACATGCAATAAGTCACATTATCCTTCCTTCAACTTATGTACATCCTATATTAGACCACACAACACATGCACTCTAATCACTTCATTGGTGCTCTACCTCATTTGCAAATGTAGTTTTATCTCCACTGAGTTTCTACATGCATGGGAACATATGTTTTTCTTACTAATTTGATTAGATTATAAACTGCAACAACTAATTCTTGGAATATCATATCTGTAATATCAAACTATAACAGTTGGATTTTACTGGTAAGAAAACAATTGTATAATGAACAAACAATGAATGAAGAAAGCCAAATAATGACAATGAAAAGAAGAGAATTCAAACATATTGATAATATTAGTTTCAGATTTTGAGAACAGACTTATTCCATTACCTTCTACCCTCCATCTCCCTTTGAGCAACAGAGTAGTCATTAAATTTCATCTTATGGCGTGTGTGTTGTGAGGTTGGTGAAGCCATGTGACCCTAATTTATTTTCTTTTTATTTTTATTTTTTTTGAAAAAATTATACAAATGGTACAGTTTCAAGTGTACATGTTTAACCTCGGTGTTTTTCAATTTCAGTTTTACTTCTACCATCCATTAATTTTCCTTTCCAAAATGATTTGAAAAATAAATCTATAGCTACTAACGGTCTATATGCTTGATGTTGTCAGACCCTGCAATCTAAAAATTTATGTAAATGCAAAGGTTTGGCTGAACGAGAGGGCATCAAAGAAATCCAGAAATCCTTCCATGGCAAACTTAGTTGTACACCCATGGCATGTGTGTTGTATGCTAGATGCCCTCTCTCTTTTAACAACACACAATAGCTTATGCAAATGCGCAGAGGACTTCAACATGTTTCATTTAAAATAAATTTTACATTTTGTAGCAAATGCATATGGCGAAATAGTCCATAAGTAATCATACTGGCAACCAAATACAACAGTTCAAAAACTTCAATGGAAATATAAATTGCAGAAAAAAAAATCTTGAATTTCCAAAACCACAAAATAAAAAATTCAACCAAATTATGTGTAAGAAGAAATACCAAGAACTGAGAGCTGCAGGCTACCAAAATGCTCATGATCTTGTTTGTGCTGATGAACTAAAAAACTTGAAATCGAATTTACATAGGTAGAAGTTGAGATTCCAATATGAGACAGAACAATCCAAATGAAGATAAGGCACCTAATATGAAATCAGGGCTCGAAAATAAAATTAAAATTTTTGGGGAAGGTAAAAAACTAATCGTTGATTAACTAAGACAAATGACTGAAATTGTCAACTTTTCAAATTACGTATCCTTAGTAAAAAAAAGCGCACACACCTTAAAAGGCTCATTATTTGTTCTGAAGCTAATGCCTGGAACAAACTCCAGCCAAACTGGAAACCCCCTAAAGAAAATAGAAACATTCAAAAAGAAATTCATTGACAAAACAAAAAACTGCCGAGGAAAATGATCATTCCCAAAATTCCATTATGAACAAATATATGGACCAGTCTTAAGATGAATATAGAGCCCTGCCTTGTAAACCATCTTTGAGCCAACCAATTACACAAATCTAAATAAGAGATGGCAGAAAAGGAATATGAAAAAAAAAATGTGTGTATGAGTTATGCATCTTGCTTGAATGCTATCTATCAATGGTAATTCCCAAATCCACAACCACCAAATCAAAACCCCAAAGCCAAACAGGGCAACTACATATGTATTAAATTCACATACAATTAGAAAGATCAAACTCAAACAAACACTGAAGCACTCATGCAATTTAGATAATGCTTGACAGATGAAATTCAAACACTAAAATCACTCTGCAACTGATTCACATGAGCTATAGCATGTTAAGAATGAGCTATAGCATGCCAAATACCCTTGTCATTACCCACTCCCACTCTCTTTGGGAGGGTTAAATAACAGAGAAAAACACATTATCAGTCATCTTTTACAGACAAGAAGACAGAAAATAATTTATAATTCTATATTAACCCAACTTATGATTTTTGCATATACATTGGTGCATCCATTCATTGCATATGCATTACTACTGATTACTCAATTTTACGGGCAGGAAGACAGAATTAAAACTAAGAAATGTAAGGAAAAAGAAAATACAGAGAGAGAGAGAGAGAGAGAAGAACATGCAAGTAGGTTTTCTCAAAAGCATAATTAGTACCACCACCTGATTTTCGACTGCAATTGTGGATTTGCGAATGCAAAAATTTGAATTTCCATAAACCCACCACAGTAAAAACCCCAAAATCCCAAGATTTATACCCAAAAAAAAGCATAATTTGAAAACCAAAGACCAAGGTTAACCGATATAGCAGAATAATTCAACAGAACATGTGCAAATAGTTTATACCAAATCCAAATTCCTAAAATCCACAAAACACAAACCATAAAATAGATATCAAACATCACAGAAATTAGAGAATCATGTAAACAAAACCGAGGCCTAATTCTCTTTTTCACTGAGAAGAAAATCTAAATAAGGATGTCCCCTTGATTAAGCTCTGAACAAAAAAAAGGTGTATGATTATATACCTCAAAATGCAAAGTACCAAGTTTGCACTCCAACGATCCAAAATTCTGAAACATAGTAAATCCATTAGCAATTCTCAAACATGCTAAATTCAGATAGAAGCAGAGCACATTTTAAATTCCGCTCCGCTCCTGGAATTTTTGAGATTTGAGCAGAAAATTTGGGAAGGAGAAGAATTTGATCGGAGAGAGTGAAAATTCAATCTACTTCAGGATCAAACACTAAAGTACGAAACTTTACCTTTTCTTCATCCTCACTTTCTCATTCTTCACAACAGAATCAGGTGACAATTAGTAACGTAGAATTGAAAATAGTTGATTAAAAGCATCAAACTTTCAAAAAGGGGAAGCTCCTAAGAATCTAAAAATTCAACAGGAAAGCACTCCTACTTCAATTTAACATAACACAATCATAAATCCAATCCAAAGCAATGAAATTTCAATAAATACCGTGTATCCAATTCTGATGAGGGTTTCGGAGGACTCGTTGGTTGGAAGCACGACTTTCTCAGGCTTATCAGCTGCCTCCATCTGGGCATCCTTCAATTTGTCGTCTTGGGTCGAAACCTGAGCCACCGTGGCCATCGCCGAGGAGGTGGAGACTCCATTTTGTTAGTTACTCAAGCCCGAGGAAGAGCTCAACCCAAAAGA